GACCTTCAAAACAAGTCATACATGAGGTAAGGTCAAGTCTCGGTATAGTTTTTAAAGTTATCTTGAAGATATAGTATTATGTTCAGTTTCAAGACAATCCATTCAAAAAAACAATTACAGCATAATAGCAAAAAATGGAAATTCAAAATTTGACTTCCAATCAAGTATTATGTGAAAGTCAAGTTCTGGCGGTTAATTTTGAAGGATTCCTTGAAGATATTATTGTCAAGGTGAAGACATCCATTCAAAAATAACAAATTACAGCCAAAGTAACAGCATGAACAAGCAAAAATTGGAACTTTTAACCTTTGAAGGTCAAAGTCATTTATGGATGAATGTCAAGGTTAGTTGGCACTGAAAGGTCTTGTCCCAAGGGTTGTTGTGGCCAAGTATGAAGACAATTACACCAAGAAATAAAAAAGTTATGATCCAGGTACAAGTTTGCGGACGGGGAATGGCAAACGGCCAACGCCGACCTGACTAAACAATACCTCTACTTTTTTTTCCAAAAAAAAAGTCGAGCTAACAATACACCTCATCTTCAAACTTGCAGATCAAAGTTTCTGTTGTTACCAATGAATGCGATCTATCTATCTATAGTCTATGCTTAATGAGTGTCTATCCGCCCGTACGGGCACAAAAGCAGTTTTCGCTGTTGAGTACGGACACCAGACATCCACCAGTCATGCCCTTAAAAGAGTTAATTTTGAAGCACAAAAAGTTGATAACTTACCCTCCGTGCATTACCAACAATACCAATGAAATGTAATCTTATATACTAAAGTTGTAATAATTTCAAAACAACCAATATATCAACATAGTTATTATTAAACATTTAGTTTCATGAATATATATTAAGAATAATTATAAAAAGCAAAATTATTAAAAGTCTTATGCCTGAAATCTTAATTGGACAAATTCGATCACTAATATATATCTCGATATGCTGTTGTGTAAATGTGAATTCAAAATGTAACAAAATGAATTTCATGTACAACTAAAAGGGAAATATCAAATTTTATAGCCTATAGTGTCAAAAAATGCAAAATACATTTATAGCTATTATAGCTTTCGAATTCAGTACAGCAGAACTGCTTTCCGGTTCTCATGTCATTAATATGACAGTGCTGCAAATCACCGAAGGGGGAACCAATATAATAATCGAAGGGAGTTCATTGAATGCGAATTTTATTTTTATCTGTAAATCGAAGGGATTAATTGATAAAATTACGGGCCCATGGACAAAAAAAAATAGAAACACAAAAAAGCAAGGAAGCAATAATGGAAACCTATGACTCACAGGGGCAAAGGCCAATTTTGACACAAGGGATATGAAAATTTATTGACCACTAGGACACAAATTTGAACAAGTTTGGGTAGAGACCTATAGATGATGTCATATACCAACATATCAAAGCTCTGGCACCTTGTACCATTTTGACAAGAACATTTTTTTAAAATTTGCTTTTTATAATTTCCTTTTTCTGGCCCTATGACCTACTTATGTAACAATACCAAGAACCATTTGGACACAGGGCTCCAGAATAATTTTTAGAGTGGCATGGAGTTATTTACTTCATTGATTTTTTGTGAATGAGTAAAACTTGAAATCTGAAATTTTGGCTGGAGTATTTTTACTCCTTAAAATGTATGGAAAGGAGTAAAAAACATTTATTATGCTTCCATGTTTTTACTGCATTATACAAGATATGTCAGTCATTGTCTTTCTGCTTTTGACTCTCTTGGTTTTTATAATCTTGCATCAGGCGCTTCCTTCTGCGATTCTTGACCAAACCACTGTCTTGTGTCTTGGTAACAGGTCATACTCTAGAGACTGGCTCTCCATAAAGGCTAACCCTCAGTCAGTGATTCAAGGTGAAATCTCTTTTGAGTGATGAGCCTGCCAATGAGATAGAACAACAACATATATACTTCAAGAACAATTTTCAAGAATGCATAAAATCAGTGCAGTTTGCATTCAAAAATAATTAGAATCATATTACTTATAAACTTTTCTTAGTTTACTAACAAAATTTATATACTAGAGTAGATCCACTGCTGCCATAAATTCAAAATATAAAGATAAGATAGAACTTTAATATAAAAGTCCCACTTAATGTTACTCTTAAGTCTGTTGAGTGCTGAATGAGCGCTCACACTCTGTGGCTTGAAAATCTCCATGCATAAGGCTATTTTAGCTAACTTAGCCATGTTTGGATATGTCAGACTGTGCTTCACAGACATAATCTTTGGCACAGGTCACTGACGGAAATGTTCCTATATGTGCCTTTACCATCCCATAAACCCCTTTCAACTCTTCCCCAAGTTTTGTTTTGTCTAATAATGGCTCATCAACATGAGTGACAGTCTCTGTTGTCCCTGTAAATATAAAATGCAATATGTTATTTATTTAAATAAACCAGGAAGCAATATAGTGACATTATAATATATTTTGAAAGTCCTAGATATCAGATTCTTTAAAAATAAATATAAACTTTGTGTTTAATTTTTTGACAATGTTGTTTGCAAGTAAACATGTTATCTATCAAGTTAAGTTTTAATTGTTTAAATAAGAAAAATTTACATCAGTTAAATGTCAATTTGAAAATATCCTATTAATCAGATCTCCTTCCACTTGTTTCACTTGTTTTTCAACTCCAAACTGATTTCCCAAACATTCTAGAGCACTCTTACTTGTATCAGCAGGAAGATGACATACTGTTGATGGGTTCTAAGACTTGACTCAAGTATATTAAAGTGTCACTATTCATTCTTTTTTAGTCTTCTTCTAATTTATTGGCCAAGTTATCCAAATAATTATGTTTGAACATTTTTGAAATCTGATTCTATATCTTTGCTATAATATTAAAGCTCATCTCCTTTATAAAAGGCCTTTCATCTTTCACGTCAGATGCTGTTTTTCATCTCTACTAATCCATCACCTTCTTCTGATTTCATTTGGACTCAATCTGTGGCTCCACATAGTACTGTCCTATTAGGGAGAACATTCACTAAAAATAAGGTTCTTTGCCTGCAGTTTCACAACATAGGACCACCAGGATAGTATGAACGTCCAACATGAAGAGCTAAAAGTTAATTGCCGTTTTATATGAAGCAAAGTGACTTTGTTATAAACCTTTAGCTGTAGAATTTTCATCGGCCATTGCTAGACAATGTTGCAAGTATGGCTCCATATTATCATAGACGGCTTCAACAGCATTTTTTAAGACCCAGCCAACGAATGGAATTATGGTTCTTTAACAGACAGCTTAGGCTCATCTAACAACCCCTGCATTTGTTTAAGGCACAAATGTCCTATTTCCTGATGCAGATATGAAATGGTAAAGGTTTTGGCAAATTTTTCTTTCTAGTTTCTTTAGTGGTTCAATTTGTTTAATAGAGTCAGTTGACTGCCAAAATTAATCTGTGTGCTATACAATGAGTTTGTATTTACAAATGGGGCAAATTTATAGCTTGAACCTGTACCCCAACACCACAACAAGTTTTTTCTTTAAACAGCAACAATTACATTTGAATTTCTGTAATAGTAGTGCCAGCTCAAATTTCTGTATGTGCATATTTAATGAATTTAACAAGTTGAAGTTCCAAAATTGCATCAAGTTTTTCAATTGGTAATTCATTATTCATGAGAGAGTAAACCGATCTTATCAAAAAAATGTCTGAATCCAACAATATATCAGTTTTTTATCTCTTCTAAATCTTGATCTAATAGCGTAGGATCTTTTTAGAAACTTTCTAATTTCAATGACATTTTATAGTAGCAGTCTGGTGGTCCGCAGATTCGCAGTGTCTCTCAACGGTTTGATTATTGAAATATTGCTAGAACCAGTTGTAGTTAATGCATTTTTTCATTTGAAAATTTTATACATAATGAACATTTAAGATTAACCTGTGACGGTTCTTCTGTATTTATGACAATCCACTGGGAACAGGTCTTTCCAAACGGCATACGTTTTATCTGAGGCTGACACATGTTTCTGTTGCTCAAAAACATGGCAGCGCTAATTATTTCATTGATTATAAACTTCACAATTATTTTCGGGTCGATTTTTTCGGCTGAAAAATACGAGTCAATCGTGTTAACTTTTTGACAGCGACATTGTACCGGATTTTTTAATAAAATTGCGTTAATTCCACCACCTTACTTATACATACCGATAACAACCGATGATTTAGTCGTGTAACTACATGGAAAGTCTACTGTTTATGTACGTTGCAAGGAATTTATACGAAAGTTAATTCCACCACCATACTATTACATACGTATAACAACCATGAATTTGGTCGGAACTACAGGAAGTTACCTGGTAGAATTCTTTGCAAAGCGTTCAACGAAATTAAAAAATGAATTAAGTCCGAGTTTACTCGGTACGTTACGCAATAGAATATGTGTCAATTGCGAACCTGATTTAGTGTGCGTATTCATAACGCTTAAATTTTGTTTTGAATGCGTAACGGTTAATTTTCCATGCGTAATTTACGCGTAATACGCATCTTATCTGAGCCTGTGGACAACTTAAAAAGGGACCTCTAATGACATTTCTAATCAACCTTGAACAAATTTGGATAGTCTATTTTTCACCGCAAGCAAGGCCGCAAAATCCTATTTGTCTCCATGTGAAAGCACTTTATCTATTGTCCGTAGAATATTACATAGTAAATCTTGAAAATCGTCACTTGTCCGTAACAGGCTGTGAACAATTGATTTTGCCGGCCGCTGCAAGGATCCTGCCAATTTGGTTGAAATTAGACTAGTGGTTTTTCACAAAGGATTTTTGAAGTTCACTACATAATCTATATCTTACACGCACCCAGGCAGAAGTGAATCGCTATATGCCAGTAGGTTGTGTTAAATATCTTCAAATTTGGATATCAATTTATAATTGAGATGCCTGAAGGATAAGGATAACAAAAAGTACCGTCTTCAATCCTTTCATATTCTATATATTTATAAATAACATTAAGAATTGGAAAACTACCTTGCAGATCATTTGTAGAACAGTGATTGTTGTACGGAAAAATCCAATATGAAAACATGGCAATTCAAGATCAACAAAACCATAGTGACCAATACATTCAGCCAGAGACCTTTACCACATGTCTCACAATCATTGCTCTTCTCACTGGTACCCTGTAAAAATTAACAGGTTTAAATTATTAACAGGTTAATACTGCAGAAGAACAGCAAACAAGAGCTGTCAGTAGGACAGCATCCTCCACTAGAAGATTTTTTAAGTTTTTACTAGCATCCACCACTAGAACATTTTTTAAGTTTTTACTATGTATATGTATATAAAAGGAAAATCAATGACCCCCCTGGGGCTGGGCCAATTTTGACCCTAGGGGTTTTATTTTAACAAACATGGTAGACATCCACTAGAACATGTTTTGTGCCAAATATCTAAGCTCAGACTACCTCTTTTGGATTTTCACAAGATGATTTTGAAGTTGTTACTAAATACATATAAGGAAATACAATGACCCCTGGAGGTCAAATTTTGACCCAAAGGCTTTCATTTGAACAACTTTGGAAGCCCTTCACCCAAGGATCAATCCTGCCAAGTTTGGTTTAAATTGGACTAGTGGTTTTTCACAAGAAGATATTTTAAGTTCACTATATAATCTATATAACACACACACACACAAACAAACAAACATACAAACAAAAACACACAGGTGAATCGCTATATGCCACCGCATCGCAGATGCTGCGGTGGCATAAAAATGAGAAACGTAGACTACCAGTTCTTGTGCACTGCACTTCTTCTTAATGAGATCTATCATCCTACCATAGCTTTTATACTTTCGGAGAAAAGGCCTGGACAAAAATAAAGTATGAAAATTAACAAAGGGCAATAACTCATAAAATAAGAAATGTAGAGTACCAGTTCTTGTGCACTGCACTTCTTCTTAATGAGATCTATCATCCTATGAAGTTTCAAGACCATAGCTTTTATACTTTCGGAGAAATAGCCCGGACAAAAATAAAGTATGAAAATTAACAAAGGGCAATAACTCATAAAATAAGAAATGTAGAGTACCAGTTCTTGTGCACTGCACTTTTTCTTAATGGGATCTATGAGATCATAGCTTTTATACATTAGGAGAAATGGCCCGGACAAAATTAAAGAATGAAAATTTACAAAGGGCAATAACTCAAAAATTAAGAAGTGCAGAGTACCGGTCCTTGTGCACTGCACTTCGGGTTATTGAAAGAAGCATGCATACCAAGTTTGAAGTCAATCCGACTTATAATGACTGAGTTATGCTCTGGACAAGCTTAGGGGACGCCGACAACGACGCCGACACCGCCAACAAAAGTAATCCCTATAAGTCACCTTTTTCAAGGCGACACAAAAGTAGTTCGGAAACGATTTTTGCTGTATATGCATACTGCATAAGTAATCAAGGGCCATAACTTTGAGTTAAAGTGTCTGACCGGAAAAAGGTGACAATATGCGCATCTCCTTCTGGTATTGAAGGTTCCCATAAAGTTTTGTTGAATTCCAGCCAGTAGTAGCAGAGATGTAGCGTAGAAACGATTTTTAGTCTATATGCATGCTGCATAACTAATCAATGGCCATAACTCTGAGTTAAAGTATCTGACCGGAACAAGGCGACGCTATGCGCATCTCCTCTTGATATTGATGATTCCCATAAAGTTTTGTTGAATTCCAGCCAGTAGTTGCAGAGAACTAGTCCGGAATCAGAATTCGGACGGACGGATGGACTGACGGACAGACGGACGGAAGGACGGACGGACGGAAGGACAACGCCAACACAATATCCCCCGATCTATCGGCGGGGGATAATAACGGGGAAAATGAATGGCACAGTTATATAACTTGGCAATATCATCTACTTTGTATTGATAAGTAAGTTTGGTAATTATGAAGCCATTAGTATGGATGGAACTTAAGATATGTCCAACTTGCCAGTTTAGGTTACCAAATTATTCATTTTCCAAGTGCTGAAAAGGGCAATTACTTGGTAAAAATGGAAGCCATAGTTATGAAACTTGCCCAGATCATGTATTTTCTGTTAAATAGTTTAAGTGTGTAAATTATGAAGCCATTGGTATAGGTAGAATGTAAGAAAAATCCAACTTGCCATTTTAGGTTAACCTAGTGTGGACAGACGGAACGGATGGTTCAATTACTATATGCCCGGGGGCATAAAAATATGTATTTAACATTTACAAAACATTACCATTCTGTGATCAAGCACACCATAAGAGACAGGCTTCCTTGTCCCATCTTGAGAGTACAGATTCTTACTGACCACATGTAGATGGGAGTACTGTCCCATCTGGTCAGATGTCATCAAACCAAATGTTACATGGCTTCTGCAATGATATATAAATTAAATGTTACAAAATCCATTATTTCACACTATACTCAGCCAAAATAAAAAGTACCCATTTTTTAATTTTTAATATCTTTTTTATTATTGTGAAAAATTTGAGAGGTGAAGTGTCTGGGGGGTGAAGTGTCTTGCTACCAGTACTGGTACCATTTCAGCACTCATTTCAATGTTAAAGGTGTCACATTTTCTCATTATTGCAGGGCTTTAAGAATAGTCTTCTAGTGGCTCAAAATGCAAGGCTATTTGTTCCATGCACTGAATGCGATACACAAAGGTGTATTTACTCCAAGAATAAATTGACAGTCAGGGAAACATGATCTCTTGAACACAACCTTGAGAATTTGATTACAGCTGTGTTTCAGTCAGTACTTTTGATGATTAGTATTGATATTGCACATTTCTGTGCTTATTTTCTTGAAACAGTGATGTCAAAATGTTTTTAAATAATCAACTGAAAGTAGAAACCTAACTTTGTTCTTTCTTATATATTTCCCATGGTGTTTGTATAATTAATAATGTTAAAATATTTGCATGTTGGACAAAATCTGTATTGCATAAAGTCTAATTAGCCTTCTGTCTGTTTTCATAGGAGATGCCCTGCATTAAGGGAGAGTGTTTGTACAATGTACGACTGCAGATGTCATGCCAATCTCACATGGAGTTCCCTTACTGTGCCTCCAACATTGGATGACCAGATATTTGTGCCCATTGTGCTGAGCTAGAAGCACAGAGCATTCCTGAACTGTTAACAAAGTATAGGATTGTACTTCCAGTTTGTGAGAAATGCATCACTGTCCACAAGAAAGACATTCCCAGTAGATGTCATATAAAAAAATGAATAATGTGAACCTAAATTATGTTGGTATTTGCACAATTAGGACTGTGGCTTAACTGTTTACTTGTCTGAAGTTGCATAGTGTTTGAAGTTTTTTTTTCTGATTGTGTTACTAACTATTCATTAAGTGAAGATAAAATGTAAGCAGACTTTAAACTGTTGATGTATAATGATGCTTTTTGTTGTTCAGTAGTTATTTTGCATAATATACTTGAGTATATTTGAGTCAGTGTTCTTGTCATTCATGTATATTTGAGTGTTTTAGTCAGCCTCTCACATGTTGGGTAAATGTTCAAAATTGGTTTTTGTTACATGTATTTTAATTAAAAAGAAATATACTTCTTTTATTGATTAATTGGAAGATATATCAATTTTAAAATGTTTATTGGCATTTTATTAAATCGAATCAAATAGAATCAAACCAAAAACATTTAATATGTATTTCCAAAAAAAAAAAAAAAAAAAAAATCCCTACCTACCTACCCAACTCTAAAAAGTAGGGTTGGGAGACAGCAAACAAAGACTTTTTTAAATGTGGCCTAATTGGATGTAATTATATTGTCCTCTTGGATGCATGAAAGGGATTTTTGTCTGATTAACGGACAATTAAATTGAAAGGTATTAAGTCATAAAATCAAAGCAATGCATGATATATATTTAAATTTGTTAAATAGTTTGCAATGCATTTGAAATTGTCATAATTTGAGATTTACTGTAAATTAATGGAGAATGGAAACAAATTGAGTCTCATTGCGTCAAGGCCCAAAAACGCAAAAACGCGCTCTGGAAGAAACACTGAACCAATGTTCAGGATATTTGGATCACAACAGCAGCCTCTAGGGTGTAAACAAGGCTTTCCATATAAGGGGTGTTTGACCTAGTTTTTCAACAAGAGTGACCCATATTTGAACTTGACCAGGTAAACATCATAACTTTCTGACCAATTTCCAGGATATTTGGACTGGAACAGTAGCCCCTTGAGCAAACAAGGTTTTCCAATATTTAGGCTGTATTACCTAGTATTTGACCCCAGGTGACCCATATTCAAACTTGACCAAGAAATCACCCCTGGTCAAAATTTAAAGTCTGTATGTCAAAAAAACAAGAAAGTAGTTCAAATGGTGTCAATAATAACAGAAGTAGGTCAGCTGATATCGAAATTCAATTCAGCATCAAAAGTTACACCCCTGGTCCAAATTACAAGTCTGTACCTCAAACAAGAGGGCCATGATGGCCCTGAAGTCGCTCACCTGTATATAGGCCACCAGAGCGCCCCAGGGCTTTTATTTGAACAAACTTGGTAAACATACATTGAAAGATGTTTCATGCTAAACATCTAAGGTCTAGCTCGTTGAGTTTTTTATAAAAAGATTTTTTAAGTTTTAACTATACACATATAGTTAAAAGCAATGACACCCCTAGGGTGGGCCCAGTTTTGACCCCAGGGCTTTTATTTGAACAAACTTCGTAGACACTCACTAGAAGATGTTTCATTCTTAGTATCTAAACTCTAGCTATTTGGGTTTTTTCAAAGAAGATTTTTAAGTCTTTGCTATACACATACAAGCAAAATCAATGTCCCCCGGGGAAGGGCCAATTTTGACCCTAGGGCTTTTATTTGAACAAACTTTGTAGACACTAACTGGAAGATGTTTCATTCTTAATTTCTAAACTCAATTTGGTTTTTTTCAAAGAAAAAAGAAATCAATGACCCCCGTGGCAGGGCCAATTTTGACCCAAGGGCTTTTATTGAACAAATTTTGTATACACTCACTAGAAGATGTTTCATTCTTAGTATCTAAACTCTAGCTATTTGGGTTTTTACAAAGAAGATTTTTTTTAAAGTTTTTGCTATACACATATAAGGAAAATCAATGACCCCAAAGGCAGGGCCAATTTTGACCCTAGGGCTTTTATTTGAACAAACTTTGTAGACACTAACTGGAAGATGTTTCATTCTTAATTTCTAAACTCAATTTGGTTTTTTTCAAAGAAAAAAGAAATCAATGACCCCCGTGGCAGGGCCAATTTTGACCCAAGGGCTTTTATTGAACAAATTTTGTATACACTCACTAGAAGATGTTTCATTCTAAGTATCTAAACTCTAGCTATTTGGGTTTTTACAAAGAAGATTTTTTTTTAAGTTTTTGCTATACACATATAAGGAAAATCAATGACCCCCAAGGCAGGGCCAATTTTGACCCCAGGGCTCTTATTTGAACAAATTTGGTAGACACCCATTAGAACATGTTTCATGCTAAAAATCTTAGCTCTAGCTCTTTGGGTTCTTTAAAAGAAGATTTTATAAGTTTTTACTATATGCATATATGGAAAATCAATGAACCCCTGGAGCGGGGCCAATTTTGACCCCAAGGCTTTTATTTGAACAAACTTGGTAGACACCCATTAGAAGATGTTTCGTGCTATATATCTTAGCTCTAGCTCTTTGGGATCTTTAAAAGAAGATTTTATAAGTTTTTACTATATCCATATAGGGAAAATCAATGACTCCAGGGCGGGGCCAATTTTGACCCCAGGGCTTTTATTTAAACAAACTTGATAGACACTCACTAGAAGATGTTTCATGTCAAATATCTAAGCTCTACCTCTTTGGGTTTTTTAAAAGAAGATATTTTAAGTTTTTTCTATCGGTTGCCATGGCAACCAGAGTTCTGCATGGAATTAAATTCTTTGAACAATTTTCAAAGGTGACCACCAAAGCAACATTCCTGTGAAGTTTGGATGAAATTGGCTCAGCGATTTATGAGGAGATGTAATTTAAAGTAAAAGTTTACGGACAACGGACGGACGCCGGAGGAAAAGCGATCACAAAAGCTCACCCTGTCACTTTGTGACAGGTGAGCTAAAAACGAGAAACTAGGTCAAACAAGATATGTTTGTAAAACATGTATGCCCCCTATCGGCAGCCAATTAGTCATGTGATCAGGTTTTTACACATGACTTCTGACCCAGTGAACAAACAATTAATAAGAGTTATCTTGTATCTACTGGTCATGACTACTCACAAGGTAATAATTATTGTGACCCCATAGGTTGTGTGCAGCAATTTAAGTTATTACAAATCTTACCAAATAATATATGCATAAATTCTATGAATCATGTAGGCCTCATTAATGACAGCCAAGTTGCTATATTACATAAGACCTTCAAATGTGTATACCAAAAGCATTTTTAGTTTCATATAAAAATATCAACCAAGGCAACTTGAGTTGTTAAGTTATTGGTCAGAATGCGTCATTAAGTACAAGGTCAATATGACCTTGACCCCTTGACTCCAAAATCAATAGGGGTCATCTACTGGTCATGACCAATCATCATACCAAATTTGAAGTTCCTAGGCCTAAGTGTTCTTTAGTTATTGATCGAAAACAGTTTTTACCTACAAGGTCAATGTGACCTTGACCTTTGACCCCTTGACCCCAAAATCAATAGGGGTCATCTGCTGGTCATGACCAATCACCATACCAAGATTGAAGTTCCTAGGCCTAAGGGTTCTTTACTTATTGATCGGAAACCGTTTTTACCTACAAGGTCAATGTGACCTTGACCTTTGACCCATTGACCCCAAAATCAATAGGGGTCATCTGCTTGTCATGACCAATCACCATACCAAGTTTGAAGTTCCTAGGCCTAAGGGTTCTCTAGTTATTGATCGGAAACCGTTTTACCTACAAGGTCACATTGACCCCAAAATCAATAGGGGTCATCTGCTGGTCATGACCAATCACCATACCAAGTTTGAAGTTCCTAGGCCTAAGGGTTCTTTAGTTATTGATCGGAAACCGTTTTTACCTACAAGGTCAATGTGACCTTGACCTTGACCCTTTGACACCAAAATCAATAGGGGTCATCTGCTGGTCATGACCAATCACCATACCAAGTTTGAAGTTCCTAGGCCTAAGCGTTCTTTAGTTATTGATCGGAAACAGTTTTTACCTACAAGGTCAATGTGACTTTGACCTTTGACCCCTTGACCCCAAAATCAATAGGGGTCATCTTCTGGTCATGACCAATCACCATACCAAGTTTGAAGTTCCTAGACCTAAGGGTTCGGAAACCATTTGGTCTACGGACCGACGGACGGACAGACCGACAAATGCAAAGCAATATACCCCCTCTTCTTC